AACTATAGGGCTTTGAACTGCAGGACCAAAGTGGGATGCTGTTGTCTTCAAAGAATTGCAAACTTTTTAAAAAATATGTTTAATGTAAAAGCTATTTTATAAAATGTTAAACTGCTGTCATTTTGGCAAGGTTTTCTGGCAAAAATCTTATGTTCATGCTGAAATGTCACAGCTGATACTGGACAAGATCATGTTGCTATTAGTGATTGCAAATGATCATACGATACAAAGTAAATGCATGTGTAATGAGAAAATGACGCACATCAATAGGTTTATGAAATAATGTTTGAGGTTGGATGTTGGGGTTGTTTTAAGCAAAGGTGGTGGGTAGAAACTGGTTACATTTACTCACTTACTCTTACTTGAGTGTCTTTTGGAAAGAAATGTACTTTTAGGAGTACACCATACTTTTTACTTTACATGAGTRATATTATTATGAAGTATCACTACTCTGACTTGAGTAAAATGTTTGAATACTCTACCCACCATAAGTAATTTCAAATGTAGAGCAAACATGTTTTAACCAGAAATGCACCAGAGAAATATATCAACAGTTAATGCTGAAGTGAGACAGCTCATTAATACATTATCTATTGTRTAAGTGTCATAATGAGAAAAATTACACTTGGAAAACTGTTTCTTCTGATGAAATGTATTATTTCATAATTATATTATTTATTTGCATTAGTTTACTTAAATTTTGTCTTTAAAAACACCAGAATTTTCACATAACGTTTGTCAGTCTGAAGGCATTTTTTTAAAATATCAGGTTTTATGATCAGTTACTCAGCAATGAATCAATGAATCAATGAATTAATCAATCAATCAAAAATTTTATTTAAAAATTAAAAGAGGCACATAGAACATAGATAAAATAAATACAAATAAAAAAAAGAAAGAACCAACTGAACTAATTTATGTCAACTGGTTCCACTAAACTGAGTTTAGTACATGTAAAACAGTTTGTTCAACTTGGTTTAGTGGAACCAGTTGTCCTAAATTGGTTAAGTAAATTCAACAGTTTTTAGAGTGCATAAACAACTTCCGTGAGTAGTTGTAGTGATTAACAAGGTGTTACATTTTAAAGCAGTCATTTTTCTGTTTTAAATGTACCAAAATAAAAGTAAAAGTTACAATAACAAAACTTAAAATTTTAGGTCCTAAAAATGACTAAAGTACTGTAACAGAGTAAATGTACTTTGTTACTATACRCCTCTCACCTCAAATAGCTGGTACCTTTGATTGGAAGTAAAGGTGCTTTCTCCAAACTTAGGTCATTTAAATAACTATCTACAATACTGTATGTAACAGGTGCATTGATTGTTCATACCTTTCTGAAAATTCCCACTTCCACGGTTCTGTTTAACAACCACCGCTGGGTGCTTCTGAGGATGATCAGGCATATACCCATTACAACTTCTGGCTATTTTATGACCATAAACCTAATCTTGTCTGACCAGCCTTTTCGCTCTGACAGCTTCATGCAGAATCTCAGCATTTCTGCAGGGTTGAGCGAGGGCACACCATTTTGTGCTGTTTAYATAAGTCTAATCTGATGTGAGGACGTCCAACCTGCAGAATGYTTGGTTGTTATGTACTAAACAGGTCACGCCTGGACTCAGCTCCATGCGGTGCCCGAGGTGATGGAGTGGGCGGTGTAMTGCACGGGGCCGGTGCACAGGCTAAGTGATGAGTCTGCAACATGACGCACCACAGCATGTTCTTTTGTCTTCTCCCAAACTGAAAAATGTCTTTAAAGGAAACATGCTGGGATGGGTCACTTTCATCTATTTCATTTTTTGATGCTTGTGATATCAAAGCAAAGACTCTAACGCAAAAAATAAATAAAAGAAATGTAATTGATCACTGGAAATAAAAGTATAAAAGGATCTAATTTATTAGTGGTATCATCTACACATAAAGGTTTTAAAAGGATCTAATCTWGAATTTTTTTAAATAAATGTTAAAAATAAGTTTTCAATTACTGAAAATWAATTTTGCAGTAACTTTATCGTCATAAAAAATGTCAGTACTTGTGTGTTTTTAAGTGTGCACGTATGCATGTCTCAGTGTGTCTGTTCCAGTCAGATCTGGCCTTAGTCCACCTGGTTTTTGCCTCAGAGTAATGATGAAGTTAAAATATATTAGATTGCTCTCTAATTACTTCCACAGAAGCTGTACTGAACACGGTGTTAGCTTAAAGCGGGGGCCATAAACAGTGATGTCACAACCCTGAAACAACAAACACTCTGAGCTCTGCTGCTGACATCATGGAAAATCTGACCTCTTTTATTTCAGGTTCATTTATAAAAATCKATATTTTCTTTACATTAACTTTGACATACATGTTGAATCATAAATGAAAATTGGGAAATGGTTAGTCCTTAACATTCAAACTGTCAACATGCCATACATAAAGCCTTGATAAACCTAATAATTATATTCTGTGCTGTCATCCTGAGAACCTAAGAAGGTGGTGTAAATTGTGTAACGCCTAAAAATGTGTGCCAAACTATTTGGGCCAAAATAGGCTGGTAAAACAAAGGACAAGATAAGAGAACAGGTTTGAACAAACTCCAACGTGGGAAGCTGTTTAATGGAAATGTGTGATACGGCAGGGGAAAGGTGATAACTTCCATATCTTCTTAGAAAAATATTTTCTTTTCATTTCAAGAACCCAGGGAGTGCTAAAAAGGGTTTTGCTGTAAATAGAGATCTAAATGGGTTCACATGATAAAGGCATGATTTTTACAGTCCTAAATGTAGATGTTGTCTATTCTAGCTGCCAATCTGATAAATGTTGTAAACATGCATTAGATGGGCAAAGTCATCATGTTGAGCGAAGGTAACCAGGCAACTGTTTTAAAGCACTTAAGATGAAGCCAACGTACTTCCCCTGCTGAGCAGTCARCATGCAGTTTGTAAAGACGCAGACATTTCCTACAGATATGAAGTAATTTCTAGTCATCAAATGAACCCCTTTGAGTCTGATGCTGATGCTTTAACTTTGATATTATGAAAAAGAAAAATCTCATCTCAAATTCAGTGAGATAATGCTTTAAGACTAAAACTAAAATAAAGTACCTGCTCTTGAACTATAGACACATTTTAAACTAAAACTGGTCCCCTTCACCAAACATGTATAGTATTTGATAAGAAAAAGGGAAAACAAACTAATTCATTACATTAAAACTTTAAATAAGAGCTTACATGACATTCTAATAAAAATAAATCCACAAAACTAATACCAAACCTCATCTAAAGACTTCAACCACAGCTTCATTAAATCTGATGGGGTAATACAATATGCTATGTGATGCAATGCAATATGATACGCTGAGATACAATATGATGCCATGTGATATGATTGGACACAATACGGTATGGTAAATGATCCGATAATGATATTATTCAATTCAATACAATGTGATACAATACGATACAGTACGATAAGATGCCATACCATACCATACCATACCATACCATACCATACCATACCATAC